ATATATATATATATATATATATATATATATATATATATACTGTGACAGCTGGTATCAATCGGCTAGGAGGGCTAAGCCCTCCATCCTGTCATTTACAATACACATATTAAAATAAACAACTTAAAAATACATTTTAGAAATAATGCATCACATTTTGTTAAATTTACAACAAAACTGGTGTCAAACCACCTGGAAAAAATCCCAGGGTCGTTCCAAAGGGCTAAATTCTGACAGCCCCATTCTGTTACTGTTCCGTCATGGTTCAGAATGATTGACAGACGTCTGGCCACGTCCCCTCAGTTTGCGGCTCATTGGGGCTAATTTTGTTCAGCTCAGGGTGCAACAGAATGCAAGGATTCTGAGTAACAGAAGCTCTGGCGGTCATCCGGGATTCATAGAACCGTAGTTACATACGTAACTTTCGTTCTATTTCATCCCTCCTGAGCGCCAGAGGGTGGTGCTGACAGCACTGAATGACTAATACCATACATGTCACAAGGAATCCTGAGCACACACCTCACTGAGGAGGCCCAGAGGACACTTGCAGAAGACCCTGGCCCAGGGGATGAGGGGTGGCCACGTTCACTCTGTAAAATCTGGTGACATGCTTGGGGAAGCCCATGATGCGGAAACACATATTGCTTCCATCGGAACCACTCTCAGGGCAGCCCAGGAAGCGAACACGCTCCTGGTAGAATGTGCCTTCACGCCGACCGGCAGGGGGCCGTGCCCTGCGGCGTAGGTGTGGCAGATGACATCCACAATGCAGTGGGAGAGGTACTGTTTAGAAAGAGGATAGCCCAACGTAGGGCCTCTGTAACACAGACCGCTGGTCTGAACATCATATAACGGCAGGAACTGCAACGTATGTGCTCTCACTAGGCACAATAATCCAGACCCCTTGCCAGGTGTAGGCTGAAAACGTGCCAGCCTCAACAGTTGGTTACAGTGAGAGTGAGATAACACCTTTGGTACAAATACAGTGTTTGGCTACAAGGTAACATCACAGCCCTCAGGGCACCACCCGAGACATGAGGAGCTGAGAGAGAGCATGTAGCTTGCAGACCCTCTTGCTGAGGCCATGGCCCACAAAAAAGGTTGTCTACACGAAAACCACTTGAGGTCCGCTTGTACCAGAGATTTGAACGGAGGGCGGCAAAGAGCTTCGAGAACCAAGGGCAGATCCTAACCTGATGCTCGTGGAGCTGTCAGAGGGTGCAACATATGGGCACCACGCAGAAAAGAGAGACTAGATCATGGCTCCCCACCATACGACCATTGATGCCGGCGTGATTAAATGAAATTGCCGCTACATAAACTGTAAGCGTCGAAGGAGAGCGACCCTTACCAAGGAGAGACTGGAAGAACTCCAGAATGGTGGGTACTGTACAGGAGACTGGATCCTCATTGTGGTCAGAACACCATTGGGAAAACAGACGCCACCTGTTTTCATACTGCTGACGAGTAGAGAGTGCCCCAACACCCTGGATGGTGCGTCTGACGGGGCTCGAAACTCCAGTCAGCTGCTGTCCTAGCCTTGCAGTGGCCACACCCACAGCCAAAGATGTTGAGGATTGGGGTGCCTTATCAGTCCCCCCAACTGAGATACCATGGGACGCCCGACATAGGCCCCCTAGCAGTGGGAACCATGGTCATGCTGGCCAATATGGAGCCACCAGCAGCACCCTGTGGCCCTCCTTGAAGACTCCCTCAAGGGTCGACTGAATTAGAGAAAGGAGTGGAAAAGGTATATAGGTGGACCCTTGGCTAAGGATGGGCCAATGCGTCCTGGCCCAGCGCACCAGACGCCCCGGTAGGGGAGTATCATAGGGGACACTGAGTCGACTCCTCTGTCACAAACTTGTCTACCTCTGCCTGACCAAAACGTTCCCAGATCATCAGCACTATATCGCTGTGGAGGGACCACTCTCCCAGAGCAGACCCCTGGTGGGGGAGAAAGTCTGCGGCCTGACTGTGTCGCCCTGGTAAGTATGCCACCCGCAAGGTGGATAGGTGAGGAGAGGCCCATTCTAAGGACTCTCTGGACATACTCAGAAGTTATGCTGACCTTGTGCCCCCCTGGTGGTTGATGTAGTAGACAACAGAGGTGTTGTCTGACCGAATGAGAACATGCCCCGCTTCCAGGTGAAGCAAGAAGTACCTGAGTGCCAAATGCAGTGCACGCAGCTCCAGCACCTTATATGGTTGGAACGGTCCTTTAACCCCAGCGGCCCTGAACCGCTCTGCGTTGTCACACAGCACCCCATCCTTTGGAGCTGGCATCCTTCGTGACCGCTTCCCTGCGACACTCTACCACTCCCATGGGGACACCTTTGGACAACTAATCTTTGTCCCTCCATGGAGTCAGGGCATGAAGACGTGACCATGTCACTGTGAGCTTGTGATACCTGTGCAGCCTGGCATCCTGGCGAAGCTGTTGAGCCATCTCTGCAAGAGGCAAAGTGACAGTGGACCTAAGGGCACCACCCGAGTGAATGACGTCAGTTGCCTAGTAGCTGCTGGAAGGCAACGTAGGGAAGCTGCCTGCCAAGCCTGAACCGACTGACCAACTGGAGTATGCCGCCCATCCTTTGAACAGATGGGCGAGCTCTCATGGAGGGTGAATCCAGAGCCACCCAAGAAAGGTGATCATCTAGGAAGGGATCAGGCAGCTCTTCTCCAGGTTGACATTAAAGCCCAACTGGAACACATGAGTAAGCAGGCAGTAAGCAGTGTGTCATGAAAGGCACAGGCCCGAGACAGGGCGTAGAGAAGCCAATCAATTAGTACAGCAGAACTTACACTCCGTAGGCCTGCAAGAGAGAGGGCTGCCTTCACACACCGAGTGAACACCCTCGGGGAAAGAGAGAGAGCCCGAATGGGAGTACCTGGAACTGCCAGTGATGACCCTAATAGACAAACCTGAGAAAGCGGCAATGTCCTGCCACATTAGGCACATGAGAATAAGCATCTTTCAGGTCTATAGACATGAACCATTCTCCCCTCGTGACAGCTTGAAGGACCTCTGCTGTCATGAGCATGTGGGAGGGCAGCACCCTTCGGTACTGGTTGAGTCCCTTCAGAACTAAAATGGGAAGAAACCTGCTGTCCTCTTTGCACGAGGAATTAAGTTGAGTAATAGCCTCTGGGTTGTTACAGAGGGTCCACTGCCTCGATTGCACCCTTGGCCAGGAGGGCAAAAAACTCCTGGTCTAGTGCTTGAGCCTTCACCGGGTTGGTGATTATAGTCACCTTGACCCGGCATGAGATGTGAGGCTGCCGTCAGAACTGTAGTCTGTAACCATGGGTCAGAGTGGCAACCACCCATGGGTCCACGGCGTGAGCCGCCCAGTAACTGAGCTGCTGGTGGGAGAAGTATCCAGTGGTCAGCCTGATGGCATCAGCGTCTCCCTCCACGGCTCCTGGGAGTCATGGGGTGGGGCGGCCAGAGTCTCTGGTCCGAGCCTGCCCAGCTGGTCGATGGACCGACCCACAAAAGCTCCTGCTGGGCCTTTGCTGAACCGCACAAGGGTAAAGACCATCCGGCCGATTATGACCCCCAGACGGCAGCTGCATGCTGGGGTCCGCCGATGGCTGCCTTGGATGCCAAGGAGGTGGAGGGGACATTGCCCTGCTAAGGCTCGAAAGTTGCTGCCTTCTCCAGGCACGGTCCGTTCCAGCGTTTCCAAGGCAGCTGAACCGAATAACTCCCCTGACACCACTGGGACATTACGGAGGGTTCTACGACATGGCTCATTCAATGCTGACTGCGCCAACCAGACCTGTCAGCGAGCCTGGACCAAGGAGGACATCACGTGCCCAAGTTCCCTAGTCATTGGTGCAAAGGCCTGAAGTGCTACATCGCTAAAGCCCATTGCTGCTGTCGCACCACTAGTCCCCTGAAGGGACGCGGAGAGGGCAAGCATGAGGTGTGCCAAGGAATTGCCTAAGCGGCCAGCACGCACTCCAGTGGCATAGGCTCTGCAGAGGAATTCATCCATGACGTGACACTGTCCTCTGATGGAGGGACAGAAAAGGAAGAAGGGGTCAGTCCGTGCCTGAAGAAGGCGTTTCCAGGGGTGGACTCCTCCGGTTGCGGGACGTCCAGCTGCAGTTGTCTCAGGGCCATACACATGATGTCCTGCATCGAGCCATCACCAGACCCACTAACTGCGCTCCGAGAAGAAAGTGAAGCTGTCTCTGAGACTTGAGATGAATGCCCTTCTTCCTCACCTAAGAGTGAGAGGCAGAGGCAGCCAAGGATAGCACATCTTCCTCTGCAGCCAGTTCAGGCATGGGTGGGGAGGAGAGTCTGGTCGCTGCCACTGGTTCAGTTCCTAGTTGGCTTACATGAAAAAGGGACTTCATCTCCGCTAATTCAGCGGAGAGCTGTTCCACCCTTGTGGAGAGGCCCATATCAAACCTGACCCGCCTCTTCCCAGGAGGGGCCACAGAGACTATGGCCTCAGTCCGGCACTTCGAGCGCCTAGGTGGAGCCTCCTGCCCAGAAGGCGGGAGGCCATCGCTGAGTTCGGGGTGAAACTGGGCCAGCTGGGCCACCCTCACAGCACGTGACATGAAGCTGCAATTCATGTAGGGGTTCTCTGACAGGGCCTCCACCAGATGGTCAGGGCCAAGGCAGGCAGGACACAGGTCGTGACAGTCATCTGTCTGGAGCATGGCTACACAGACTGTACATCAGTGAGAGCCGTCCATGCTCCTTACCCAGCTATGTCCAAGATATAGGACGAAAAAATTACGGCAAGAAACTCTGAAAGGTTAACACCGCTAGCTCAGCTGGTAAAAGAGGACAATTGGGAGAGGGGGCGCAAACGCTCGCCTTCACCAATTAAAACAAGGCCAAAACTCAGAGAGGCTAGCACCGCTAGCTCAGCTGGTAAGAGAGGACAATTGGGAGAGGGGGCGCAAACGCTCGCCTTCACCAATTAAAGACAAGGCCAGAACTCAGAGAGGCTAGCACCTCTAGCTCAGTCCAACAGTCTATGAGGTTGGAGAAAATGACCGGGAGAGGGTGCAAAAAACTCTAGCCTTCACCAATGAAAACAAGGCCAGAAACTCAGCTGGCTACGTAATAAGCAAACTTCGGAGCACAGTCCAGCCGACCACACGGTTGGAGGCCTCCCAACAAGCGGGAGCGGAGCGAACGCTACCGCTAACCAACGGCGAAATATAAGAAAAAAACACTACTCACCGGTGTTGAATCACACACCTAGTAGTCAGACGCTGTAAGTTGGGAGAGGCGGAAACCACCGTAGTCCCCAATGAATCAGCAGAAAATACTTTTGAACAGGGTTAAACCGTCGCAGCCCCTAGGAGGGCGAACACGCTACTTCCGACGACGGTAAAAAGTTCAAAAAAGGTCCAAAGGTCTGAAGCCCTGAATTGAACCGCGAGCGAGAAGAAAAAAGGAGCAGAGCTGCGGATGACGTCAGGCTATATAGCCTCTGATTGGTCATCCGTGTCACACCTGTGACTCCGTTGATATTATTACTCAAACAGCGCATGCGCGAAGGGAACATTCAGTGCTTTCAGCACCGCCCTCTGGCAGTCAGGAGGAATGAAATAGAACTCGCTCATGTCAGCTCAGAAGTGCAGGAGGGTGGAGCACGCTGTATAAACAAAAATCAGCTGTTCCGACCGAAACTTCAAAATAATCCACCGCTCACACACTCACAATGAAAATTAACACCAAACAAAACTGTATCGTCTCACTGATTTGACTTTACGTAGGAAAATAAAGATTCTCTGAAATAAATCAATTTCACCTATTTCATACAAGGAAGAGAGATCTCTCCTGGCCAGACTCTGGAGCTCCACCTGCTGCATCTCTCCACCTGCTTCACCAGCCACACCCCTGCTGTCAAACTCATGTCTCTTTTTATAAGTTCGGGAAAAGCTGTGACCCAGTTTTCTCTGTGGATACTTTGAGGATAAAATACATATCTACAAGACATTCTTGCATCTATAATAATACAAACATTTTATTTGTATTTAATTTATTTAGGTTTTATTCTCAACCCCCCCCCCCCCCCCACACACACACACACACAAAATACTTTATTTTAGTGATGTCACAGACCAAATATCCATCACAGCCCTGATGACTTCTGCAGAGTCAGAAATTCCTACTTTGCGGTTTTTCACTTATCGCTGGTCAGGGTACGGATTCCCCGTGATAAACGAGGGGCTACTGTATTTTCTAGAACTTGTCAAACTTCTAATAAGTAACAAAAACATCTGTTGAAGCTTGTAAAGTAAAGCATGCTTTCTGGACTTGTTGCTGTTTAAAACAGGGACACAGACTATTCAGAGAATCCCTGTAACTCATATTTTAACTACCGGTACATGAAGCATGTGTGCACTTTCAAAATAATCTAAGCTCTGAAAAGTACAAATTGAAATGCTTGAGTCTTGTGTAGAAAATAAGTCTTGCTCTAAATCTGTCATGTCTCTTTAAAAACTGATACTTTTAGGACCAAAACAAAATCAGTTTGCTGGACTCATTTGTTGTAAAGTAATGTTTAACTTTAGAGTTTGATGGAAACTGGAAACCTTTTTTCTGTTGTTGCACGTTTGTTGAGTTCAGACTTTGATGTTTGGTGATGTGAATTTATCCCTGCAGTTTTCTTTTCATATATTAATTTAAATCAGACCTAAAGTTTAGAGTCAAAGGATGAGCCT